CCCTTGCCAGGTCCCTGCACACCCCCAAAACCATCGTGCAGACCAACCCTTGGAGCGAGGGGGAAGATTTGTTTTTTTTCAGGTTTATTTTAGGAAGATGCTTTGAAGCAGCAATGATTGTCCTGCAAAAACGAGGTATCGCCCCTAATGGCCCTTGGTTCTAAGGCTATAAAGGAAAGCAGCAGGCAGGTGAGAGGACCCACAAAACCAGTAATTCTGATATTTTGCATATGCTTAACATAAAGCACTTGAAGATTGCCAAGATCAGTAAGGGTTCCAGCTTTGTGTCCGAGCCCAGCAACGCTGGCCTCCACGGAGGATCCACTGATCTCATCCACAGTCACACCAACATCAGAGAGAGACCTCACTGTGCAAATGAAACAGTGGCACTGGTTTCCCAGAGAGGTGGTAGATGTCTCGTCCCTAGAAACATTCCAGGTCAGGTTGGATGGGGCTCTGAGCAACGTAGTCTGGTTGAAGATGTCCCTGCTCACGGCAGGGGTGTTGGGCTGGATGACCTCTAAAGGTCCCTTCCAATGCAAACCGTTCTACGAAACGGCTCTCGTGAATTCTCATTTTATTCAAGGGCATGAAGAGGACATATGGGAAGAAGCAAACGAGGGTTGGAAGTGGAGATGGGCCAGCAAGGCAACCCAAGCCCAGGTGAGTGCCTGCAGCAGGCTCCGACACCACCAGCGAGGAACGCAGCCCGGCGAGCAACGCTTGCTGCCTTCACCTTGCTGGGGTTGAAGAATTTTTGCTTGAAGTGAGCTACACCTCCTGGGTGACCTACGTGTGCTCCCTGCTCTGGAACTGGCACAGCCATAAGATGCTGAAAACAATCTGATGCTGAAAACCAGCGTCCTGTTCCCTTCCAGAATTTAACTACGCGGCCAGGTGCCAGTGACACACGTGTTACTGCTGGCTGCGCTGGACAACGGGGGGTTTTATCCCCCGGTTGCAGCCCAGCTCCTTTCCCCCCACGCATGCTTTATCTCTCTTACTGGATGCGTCTCCTCTCGGCTGGGGCCATCCTGGGCGTGCAGCAGCATGCCCCGCGGCGGCGGTGGCACGGCGGCGGTGGCACGGCTCTCATAGCAGAGCGTGAGCAAGATGCCACGGCCCTGCTCCCACGCCGACCACCACCCCGGAGGGCCCCGGACACAAGCGTTACCGGCTCTGCGGAGCCTGAACCAAAGGCTGGGGGAAGCCCAGAGCGCCAAGGCATCCCTAGACCAGGAAAAGGGGTCTTGGCAAGCCAGGCAAACAGCCCTGCTGCCTCCCCCGACCCCCCTACCTGAAAGAGGTCGAATGGTGGCTTGTTCAGAGAAGGGCTGTGCACAATGGCAGACAGACAGCCGTCAGGTGACAGTCCCACACGTAACACCAACGTGTTTCACATTCCTCTCCTGTGGAGAGGAGTGCAACGGGAGCAGCCTACAGCCCTCAAGCCAACTCCCCCACTTACTTTCTTTGCCGAGAGCACTACCAACGACCTCAAGGCCACCCTTGGGCCTGCAGAGAGTTTTACTGGGAGAGGCTTGCTGTAAGTCACCCCTGCCTTGGCAGGGCTGCTAGTGCCACACACTCCTTCCACGAGGAAGCAGCAAGCAGCAGCGAGCCCCAGGGCATGGGCCTGCCAGGCTTGCTGTAAGTCCCCCCTGCCTTGGCAGGGCTGCTAGTGCCACACACTCCTTCCACGAGGAAGCAGCAAGCAGCAGCGAGCCCCAGGGCATGGTCCTGCCCGCCACAGGACTGCCGGCAGGATGGGGCCTCCGGGAGGACACCCACAGCCACCCTAGACGCCAAGCCAAGGGAGAGAGAACACACACGTGATTAGATGAAGAGAACAGCAGCAATCAGCCACAGACACACACGAGATACGTGTACAAAATCAGAACGACTGGTGTGGGCAGGTATTTCACAGAATCACAGCACGGTAGGGGTTGGCAGGGCCCTCTGTGGGTCACCCAGCCCAACCCCCTGCCCAAGCAGGGTCACCCAC